TGCGGGACAGAGAGAGCCCAGTCTCCTCTCCACAGCGGCAGATACAGCAGGGAATTGGGAGCCCAGTCTCCATTCCCCAGCGGCAGGCTGAGTTACAGGGGGCAGAGGTAGTCGTTCCTGCCCTCCAGCAGCCGAGTGATATGCCGGGAAGGCAGTGTGAAGTTCAGGGAGAGGAGAGCAGTGTCCTCCCTCCCCAGCGGCAGCGTGATTTTTTGGGAATTGGGAGCCCAGTCTCCATTCCCCAGCCGGAGATAAAACAGGGATTTGGGAGCCAAGTCTCCATTCCCCAGTGGCAGAGTGTCCTACCGGGAATAGAGAGCCCAGTCTCCTTTCCCCAGCAGCAGGACTCTGTATTGGGAGCAGAGACAGTCGGTCTCCCTCCCCCGCGGCTGGAAGTATATATGGGAGAGGAGCTTGTTACCCCCTCTCCCCAGCGGCAGCTTAATGTACCCGGGGGAGACAGTATTTTATTTTATTTAGTTTGTAAAATGCTTCCAAAATTAAACAGAATAACAAAATAAATAACAAAATAACAATAATAAACAATCAACTGAAATAATGCCCAATTCAAACATAATACCAAATGAAACATAAATACCCCAAAATTAAACATAAATACCGAAACAAAAACTCAGGAAGGGGCACTAATAGGGGAGTAAACTTATACCAAATTAAATAACTGGGAATAACAGGGAGAGGGATTAACAGAAAAGGGGGGGAACTAAATCATAAGGGGATAAATTAAAAGGCGGGGGGCTCCATTACTTCATGGAGCCTTGGGGAGGGAGAAAAAAGGCTGAAATGCTCCTGAAGGAGCTCTTACATAACAAGGGGGGGACAAGGGGGGACCCAATTGACCTCGAGTCCACAGCCAGCTAAACACAAACATAAACCAAGCGTGAAATAAAATACACACATAAACATAAACAAACCCATTACCCACATGGAGTCCTTTTCTCAGTTCATAAAACCCACCAACCACATGGAGTCCATCCCTCCGTCCATCAACACCAACCCACCACCTACACTTTAAACCCAAACTTTAAACCCAAACCCACCACCCAAATGGAGTCCATTTTCAATTCATAAAACCCACCACCCTCATGGAGTCTATCCCTCCGTCCATCCCCCAAACCCACCACCCAAATGGAGTCCTTTTCTCAGTTCATCACATCCAAACCCACCACCCACATGAAATCAAAATTTTGTCCATAGACCCACCACCCACATGAAATCCAGTTTGTACACCACCCTCAAGGAGTCCATCCCTCCGTCCATAAAGAAACCCAGTGTTTTTTTTTTTGTTTTTTTTTCCACCCAAAGTAAATTTTTCAATTTGTCCATACACCAGAAACCCACCCTAACCCAAACAATACCAAAAATAACCTGTGCATAACCATAACCATAACCTAACTACACTGCACTACCTAGACGCAGAGGAAGGTACTCGTCTGCTAAAGGTGGCAGCCTTCCATGAAAAGAAAAACCAGTTCAAAATCTACGGGGGAAAGGTGAAGACAGATTTGGAATTCCCTTCACCAAGACAAGGGCGCCCATGGAGCGGTTCAAGGCGGGTGGACCTTGAGATTTCGCCACAAACGCTGCCAAATGGTGGGATCCATAGAGGCCCTTTCGGTGGTATAGATCCCACGAACCGCCCTCAGAATGTCTGCTACCACCACCTGACAGGAAAGGTCTTTACGTTGAAGGGAAACCTGACACCTTGCCATCCAAGTGAAATACTTAACCACTGAACTGACTACATAAAGAGTGCCCAAATCAAAAGCCCTCCCCCTTGAGTTGGACGTCCCGTACGCCCACTCCGCATAAGTCCAGCGGGATAAGCAGGGGATGCCTAAGGCGGCTGAGACCTCTTTGTAGACCTGTACGTTAAAGGGGCACTCGAGGAGGAAGTGGTCCATGGACTCCACTTCCCCGGAACATTCCACCCGAGGACAACCGCGATCCGTTATGTTCCTGTACTTCAAGTTCCCTCGAACGTAAAGTCTACCGTGGAAGGAGAGAAACGCCACGTCTCGGTATTTCTCCGGAAGGCGCCTGGAGTTGATGTTTTTCAACCCCGAGGCGAGAGTACTTGGCGGGCAGTCCTTCAAAGCAAGCTGAATGCCAAAGTGGGTGGCCAGGACCCTCCCGTCGAGAAGCTTCTTGGGAGTGTCCCGAACCTCCTCCACCGTGACGTTCCACCTGCGCAGAATTCCCACTCCCTCGATGACCGAAGACGGAAGATAGCTAGAATGCCGAACTCTCATGCTCTTCACCCTCCCACCCTGAAACCAGTCCACCAGGAAAGGTGTGACCCACTCCCTGAATATACATACCCAGCCAGGCTGCTCGTCCTTCAGGAGAGCCCCGAAATTCCTTTTCAGGAAGGTGTTAGTAAAGAAGACGATGGGGTTGACCATGGCCAGACCCCCGTCCTTTCTGGCCAGGTAAGTGACCTCTCTTTTGATGAGGTTCAGCCTGTTCCCCCACAACATGCGGAAGAACAGCGCAAACATCCGAGCGTGGAGGGACCTGGGCAAAAGGAAGATGTTACTGACGTAGCCGAATACGGTCAGAACATAGGTTTTGATTAGGTTCACCCGTTCTCTGAACGTCAGTTTCCACCTGTGGCTCTCCTCCACCTTGCTAGAAGCTATGGCAAGCCGTTCGGTCCAGTTCCTGAGAGCCAGATCCCCTGGTCCGAACACCACCCCCAAGATCTTAATTTCAGGCTGGGCCCTCGGGAAACCGTCTGGAAGAGGGAACTGGTCCCCCTCCTTCCCGCACCAGAAAACTACGCTCTTGTCCCTGTTGACACGAGAGGCTGAAGCGGCAGAATACGCTAGGATTAAATCATCCACCTCCGTGGCCTCCCGAGTATTGGAGACCACTATGGAGATGTCATCAGCGTAGGTAACAACCCGTAAAGGCCTCTCCGGAGCCCTGGCCACTCCCTGTAACGTGCCTGCCTCGACCCTTCGGATGAAGGGATCGACTGCAAACACGTACAAGAGTGGGCTGAGAGGACAGCCTTGCCTGACCCCGGATCGGATCCTAAACGTCCTGCCCCTCCACCCGTTCACAAGAGCAAAGCTTTCGGCCCCTCTGTACAAGGTGATTATCCAATTGACGAATTTTCCCGGCAAGCCATACTTCCGCAAGACTGACCACAGATAACGGTGATCTACTCGATCAAAAGCTTTGGACTGATCAAGTGCCAGAAGGTATATCCCCCTTTCTCCGTCCCTGCACTTCTCGAGGGCTTCCCTGACTTCGAAAACGGCATCAAAGACAGTTCTGCCCTCGATTGAACAGTACTGGGAGGTGGATAGGACACGCCTCGCTAGGCCCTGTACTCGTTTCATCAAAATCTTTGCCAGGACCTTCCTGTCGACATTTAACAGGGATATGGGGCGCCAGTTCCCCACATCCGCTGTGTCGAGCACGTTCGGCTTGGACAGCAAGATCAGGGCAGAAGTCCTCATCGAGGGTGGCAATAATCCTTGAGCCAAGCTCTCATTAAACACCTCGGTCAGATGAGGGGCCAAGAGGTCGCAGAACTGTTGGTAAAACTCGGCCGTCAGACCATCAGGACCTGGCGACTTACACTTGTTCTGCTGTTGGATACTCTCTGTGACCTCTTCTATGGTGATCTCGCTGACCAACTCGTCAAAAGAGAGGTCGCTATGCTCAGGGAGCGTGAGCTCGCTCAAGAAGTCATCCACCCTTCTCCCGTGGGAGGTTCCCTCCTCGCTACATTGGGGGCTGCCCTTTCCGAGGAGCTCAATGTAGTAGTCGCGGACCACCTTCAGAATCCCGCGAGGAGACTCCTCTAGGGTCCCGTCGGTGCCCCGCAGACTAGGGATGGACTTGGTACCTTCCTTCCGCTTGCAGCTAAGATAAGGATCGGGCGAGCGGTATGACCCATGATCCCTCTCTTTTACAAGGGAGGCGTACCTGTCATACTGATAACTCCTCATCAGGTTTTTAACTGCCGCAATGTCCTCGGGGTCACCTCCCTGCGAGATCAGGATGTCTAACCTCCCAAGCAAGCCCAGATACATCTTGTACCTGGAGGACTGCATGTTCCGGGCGAGATTGCGAAACAGCCGTTGAGTTCTGGCCTTCACCATCTCCCACCACTCAGACTTCGTTTGGCCTAAGTCGGCCAATGTCATCTGATCGTGAAAGAATTCCATGAAGGCTTGCTGAACCCTCTGTTCCACCAGGAGGTCTGAATTTAGCCGCCAGATCCCTCTACCCTTAGGTGGGGTACTATAGACGTTCAACTCGCAAGACAAAATGTGATGGTCGGAGAACTCCACCGGTGTAAGCACGGGTGCCGCCACCGGGAAATTCTCCTTAAAGAAAAACCTATCTATCCTACTCTGACAGCTACCTCTGTGATAAGTGTACCCACCCGTGGGATTGGGAGTGTGATGAAGGTACACATCGACCAATCCAGCCTGACTAACCATCTTATTTAAAAAATAGGAGTCATACCCCAGCCTCTGAGTGGCGTCTCTCCTGTCTTGAGGCCTAGTTATGGTGTTAAAGTCACCGCCAAACAGGATTTGCTGGGATGTATAAAGGTAAGGCTCTATCTCAATAAACAGGCGCTTCCTCTCCCACTTAGATTGGGGGCCATAGATATTAATTATCCTGAAAGGTTGCCTGCCCATTGAGACATCTAAAACCACACACCGTCCTTTTTGCAACTCCATAACCCTGTTGATGCTAACATCAACGTCCTTAAATAGGATGGCGATTCCCCCATATCTCTCTGTGGCTAGAGAGAAGTAGGAGGGCCCCATCTCCAGTCCCGCTTTGCAGCGTGCAGGGCCGCGAGGGTTTCCAGCCGGGTCTCCTGTACCAAAATGACATTGTACGGAGCACGGCTGAGGTGGTCGTAAACCAAAAAGCGGGCCCTGCTGGACTTAATGCTGTTTACATTCACCGTAGCCACAGAGAGTACAGGAAAAGTCGCCATAAGGGCATTAAGTATAAGGAGACTTTCCCTTCCTTCTGCGGTACCCCTCCTCCTCCGTGTCGGAACCGAGGAACCTCTTCACTGAGACTCCAGGATACAGTGGCCCGTCGTCTCTCAGAAGCACCTCCTGTCCCACCTCAACCCTTGCCACCACCTCGGGGAGGTTCGCCATCTCCTCCTCGTACTCACAGTCAGCCCAGCTGGAGGACAGTGCCTCGTACCTGTTAGATACGGGCACCGGGGCCTCCTGCAAGCCCGAAGAGGAGGATGACGCCCGTGCCACACCACCCTTATAAGTGGCGTCTCCCCCTTTCGGGGGTTTCGCCGCAGGGGGTGTGGCGATCTTCCGGGGTGAGGGCAGCGTCGAGGTCTTGGAGGGGGTGGGTTTCTTACCTTTCACCGTGCTCCACTCTAGGGACTGTGCATCTAAGGGACGTGCATCTGGGGATTTTTCAGTGGGGGTAACCTTCACCGTGGAGAATTTAGGAGGGGGGGGCCTAGGGGAGGGGGTCTAGGGGGAGCCATAATGGCTGTGGAGGTAGTGCGTTCTCTACGTACACTTTTCGTGAGGGGACGTGAACTTGTGGCCTTCCCAGGGTCCTGAGATGTTACAGAGACCGAGGGGAGGATGGGCTGTTGCTGGGGCAGGGAAACCCTTGTGCCAGAGATGGGCCTTGTAGATGACGATGCTACCTGAACCCCTAACCCAGCAGAGTCCATCTCCACCGGCTCCTGACTCCAGATGGACTCTACATTGTGCTGGGCTTCGGGGCAGGTGCGGTACGTGTGACCCATCTCTGAACACAGATGACACCGGATCTCCCTGCAGCTGTCCCGGAGGTGCCCCACATAGTGCATTTGAGGACCGTACAGGCATTGCTGTAATGCCTGTACGATCCGCACTTGTGACATACCCTGGGCTGACCAGGGTAAAAACAGGATACCCGGTCAGCCCCGATGAAAAAACTATTAGGCATATGCTGTGTGACACCTCGAATCTCCGGCAGCAACACTGAAACAGTCCATCCGCCTGTCCAAATCCCATCCTCATCTAAGATCTTAACAGGGGGGGATTTAACATCCCCAAACCTCTTAGTCCAAACAAGGATGTCTGCTATGGGGATGGATTCATTTCTCACCAGGAAAGTGACCTTCTTAAGACCCTTGTGAGAAATGGCCACAGCGGTGAATCCTGCCCACTTTGTACCCTGTGCAGACCTGGCCGCTTCCCACCCAGCCCAGAAGCGATCCAGGAGCTGCGACGTCATAAAGGAGACGTCGAACTCCCGGGTGCCCGAGGCATGGATGAGCGCGTACAGGTCCACGGGCGCAAATCCCATATCCTTTAGCCGGGTCACCAGCCACCGTCTGTCAGGCACCTGGGTCTCACCCCCACAGATGAGTCGTACCACGTTCCTCCTGTTCCCAAAGGAAACCTGAGGACGCGTAGCAGGCCCGTCCGCAGAGAGGCGAGGTGGCCCAGATGCCCAAGCATTGGGCGCACTGGGACCCGCCGTCTGGGAATGATTCGGACGGACTCCCCTCGCTGAACCAGAGGCCTCGGTCACACCAGAACCCTGGGTGACAACCTGGGAGTGCCTAAGGGGAACCTGTGTACCTGCTTGTGCGTCTAAACTATTTATAACCGCGGCACCCTTTGTCAGGGTGCCTGTGCCCGTGCTCGTGCCCGTGCCCGCCACTTGTGTACCAACTAACTCCAGTGAACCAGGGGCAGGGGCAACATAACCTGAGGCGGGGGCAACATAACCAGGGGCAGGGGAAACAGTACCAGGGGCAGGGGCAATAGTACCGGGGGCGGGGGCAACATAACCAGAGGCAGGGGCAACAACACCAGGGGCAGGGGCAACAACACCAGGGGCAATAGTACCGGGGGCAGGGGCAACAACACCAGGAGCAGGGGCAACAACACCAGGGGCAGGGGCAACAACACCAGGGGCAATAGTACCGGGGGCAGGGGCAACAACACCAGGGGCAGGGGTAACAACGCCAGGGGCAGGGGCAACAACACCAGGGGCAGGGGCAACAACACCAGGGGCAGGGGCAACAACACCAGGGGCAGGGGCAACAACACCAGGGGCAGGGGCAACATCATTAATACAAACAGGCTGGCTGTGGACCTTTTTACTAAGACCAATAGGTCCCATCATTACATTTACAGTTACATCCATACTCCCATCCTCCTCAGCCATCCCTAAACCACCAGTGGAGTCAAACACAATGTTAGTCATACTTTTCTTACCTCCACTGGCGGTTTCCTCAGTATGGACTGCTGGCTGAGGATGATGGGAGTCCCCTGCAGTCCTGTCTTCCATAGCGCCAGCGGCACCCGCGGCACCCGGGGCACCAGGAACAACAGGAACAACAGGGGGACTGGTTACACATGCAGACATAAGGGAACACATAGGGAAGCAGGGGGAACAGACTGGAAGACAAACTTGGACACATCCAGGGAAACAGACTGGGGGACAAACAGGGGAGGAGACTTGCTGGTAGGGGAGAGCAGTCGAGCTTGCTCCAAGGGAGCAGAGGGAAAAGGAGGGCCATCACCCTGCTCCAGACTGCTCCATCCAGTGCCATCCTGCCCAGCAGCCGCCTGAGGACAGGAGGCAGAGGTACCAGCCACTCCAGGGGACGCAACCACACGGAGAGGAAGGTCAGAGGGAAGGCAGGTAAGGGAGGGAGTGGGAAGGGAGCAAGGGAAGGACCCCTCCATGGGATCACCGGTACACGCCATAGTACCGGCGGGGATGGTCTCCCTGTCACCATGGAGGGCGGCGGGGGGCCCAGATACTTCCACAGAAGCAGGTTGTGCAGGTTTCTGGGGCATACAGGTGTTGCCACCTGCAGGGTTAGTATCCCTGGCCCCAGGCTTCTGCAAGGCCTGAACATCATCATTGTACATATACTCAGCATTTGAGCACTCACCCTCCTCTGTGGAATCTCCAGACCCCCGACAGAGGTCTCAGGCTGACGCCGGGCGATGTTTTTCTTTTTCTTCTTTTTCTTCTTTTTGTCCTTTACGGAGTCCTCCCCAAGTTCGTTTCCAAACTTGAGGAGAGACTCCTTAATCAGCCCTCGACCTCTGTCCTGCACTTTCAGCTGCCACTCTTCACCTTTCTCTCCGTCTCACTCCTCTTCACTGTCCTTCTCTCTGGCCTTCCCCTCCGTCTCAGCAGCGCCCCCTGGAGTAGCAAGGGCAGAGGTAGACGGCTCCCCAGGTGAGTGATGGGAGTTGGAATCCAAGTCCTTGCTGGACTCCTCACCTGGGGACATGTCCCTCCTGCCCTCCATAGCCCTCTGCCTCCTGGACCTCGCAGCGTCCTTGGCTCTCTGTTGCAGGATGGCCTGGATGTCTGCTATTTTCTTTTCAGTCTGGAGCAGGGTGTAGGATAGATGCTGCTCCACTAATTTTTTCTCAGCTATAGCGGCCCTCAAAGGACCTCTTTTGTAATTAGAGGTCCTGTTTGATTTTTCCCTCTGCTCCCTTAGCTCTGCCTGGACCCCAGCTAGGCCCGAGTCTGCCTCGGCATGCTGGGCCTTCAGGGACACAAGCAGACCCCGGAGCCTGTCAGAAGGTAGCCCCATAAAGACCCTAGCCTCAACCCCCTCACCCTTTGCAGCCTCAGCATAGGTGAGGGAGGCCTGAGGGGCCTTGCTGGCACTAGCCACCTCAGGGGGGGTCTCAGGGACTACCTCCTCCTCGGTACCCTCTCCCACCTCCAGGGACGGGGGGGGGCTGTTCTAGGAAGTGGAGGCCACTGCTGGCAAGTTCACGGCACTCAGCCAGCAGCCCAGAGAGCAGCTGGATATCGGCCCTGGTGTGGGCCGTAGCTCCCTGGGGGACCCCCACTTCCCTTTCCATGCTGTAAGCTTCCTAGACATCCCCCCCGCCAGTTCCTCCAACAAGGAGACCTGGTTTCGTATTTGCCGGGAGAGGGCCTGATGCTCAGTCCAAGACAGGCCCCTGGTATCCGCCTTACCTTCCCCAAAAGCCAGCACTGCCTGCAGCTCGTCCAGCCTGACCTTCCATCCCCAGGCTGGGGAGGAAGGCCCGAGGGCCATGCTTGCCTAGGCCCAGGCAGAGCCCCTTGCTGTAGTAATTCCAAAGCCCAGAAATCGAGTTCCAAAGCAGCCACAAACGGGTGTGGTCCTGGGAACACACAGATGAAGCACAGAGCAGCTCCCTCTCCAGCAGCAACGGCAAACTCCTCCCACTCCAGTGGGAGGGGAGACAGTAAGCCCCACAACTGTGCAGATGGGACCGTGGTCTCTGCACGTCCAGCACAGGGGGTAGGGACGGTCGGTTCTGCCCCCCAGCAACAGGGCTGTTTAGCCAAAGGGGAGACAGTCGGTCTCCAGCAGCAGAGCTGTGTATCTAAAGGGGAGACAGTCGGTCTCCAGCAGCAGAGCTGTGTATCTAAAGGGGAGACAGTCGGTCTCCAGCAGCAGGGCGGTGTGTCTAAAGGGGAGACAGTCGGTCTCCAGCAGCAGGGCTGTGTATCTAAAGGGGAGACAGTCGGTCTCCCCCTGCAACAACCAGGCTTCAACCAGGCTACCCTCCCAGTAGCGCTGGCACCAGGGCAGAGTACCGCTGGTCTCTGCCCACGCAGCAACCCACCAAGTCAGCATACCCGTACCCAGCACAGCCGTGGTGAGGCATCTGGACATGGACAAGCTTCTCCTCTACCCAGGTGTAGTAACCATTTATTGTGGGTGGGCTGTGCTGTTGATTGTGTTTTGTGGGTGGGGTGCTGGACTAACAAGGGCACTGACCGGCAGGAGGTCAGATACCCTGTTAGTCTGTTTGGAAAAGGGGAGAGATGTGACGAGTCCAATCTCGCCACATTGCATTGGAGAAGCCTGGTTGCTCGCCTGCTGCCTTTGGACTATGGCCCCATGTTAAAAGACTTTGTTTCGCCTGCAGAAAAGCTGTATTCATGCTTTTCTGCCAGTTGTTCGGTAGATTCAATCTACCGAACAACCCCACGAATGAATAGACCACCTGGGAGCTGGAGTGTGCCGGCAATTAACCTCCCTGAAGCTGCGGTTAACCGCAGCTTAAATTGACGAATGCTGGGTGGCCGCCATTCGTATCCCGAACACGAGGTCGCGGCCATTTTAAACATACGAATGCACAGCGGTTTTCGACGCTTAATTCATGGAACTAAAATCGGACACAGTTTTGCGCGAACACCGCTGAAGCCGCCGACCTCCCTTCTTGTTCAGTGGAAGTACACGAATGGCCGGTGTTCGGTAGTTTTACTTGTCTATGTTATACCCCAGATAGGAATTCCATGGAGCCCATTCGCATGAAACTGACTGTAAAGACTTTGGCTCCATGCGATTAAACTGTATTCGTGTGGTCTGAGCGCAATTCGCTTAATAATGTGCGCTCAGACCTGAGCTATCTGGGGTTTTGTTAAATGTATAGTTTTAATGTAATGTGTCTTACATGGTGTATTTTAACAGTAATGCTTGTTTTAGTATCTCCACGTGCATAATGGCGATTTGCCTTTGTCTTTCTTTTTACTTCTTTTTACTTCTAATTACTTCTCAATTATCTCCCAGGGCAGAGGGGAGGAAGCCAGGATGCATTGTGGGCATATATTGTGACTGTGTGTCCTATTTGTCTGCTTGTCTGTCCCTTGTCACAGTCTCCCATTTGGTCCCCTAGGGGAGTGTCCACCAGGTGGGAGACCTGCATAAAGACTGGGCAGGTAGCCCTCATTAAACAGACCACTGCTTGACCCTCAACACGGAGCCTTGTCTCGTCTTTCGGGGGATTTACTAAATGCTGATAGAGACTGATTGCTAGGAGTGTAAGCCGCTTGGATGCTTTTCCTATTCGTCTGGTAGCAGCAGTTCGTATGGTTCCTGTTCGTCTGTTTGGAGTGCTATATTGGATGCCGTTTGGGAGTTTGGAGCATTCACTTATTGGCGATTCGTGTGTTTGGTGTTCTGCAGTAGCTGTGCCTGCATCTCTGGAAAGGGGGCCGATCGCCTAAACGGTTTTTACCCCTTTTGTGCAAAACGGTCCGTTAAAGGCGACAACACAACCTGGTTGGCAG